CACCCTCAGATAATCAAAGTTTTACTAGAACAAAGGCGCTTCTCTGCATAATCTGAATTAAATAAACACACAGAGCAATGTTTGTTAGATAACATCGACGAAACTATCGTGTGTCAAACCCACATTACACCAGTGTTCCAAATCTGTCTGTTCCAGCACTCACTCACTCTGAAGCAACCATTAGGGAAACAGTGGAAACGTCTGCTTCTTGGAGAGCAGCAGCGGAGAAGCACCATAACAAGCCTCAGATGAGCTCATTAGGACTGTAAGCCCATGCTGTATCCTAACAACCATGTCTTGAGCAGCCCGTGCCCGTTTTCAATATAGGAGGGTGTCTCCAAGCCTCAAGGGTCAAGCAAAGAGCTCTCCTGCCATGTCAGTAAGGGAAGCAGCATTAAACAGATGATGATGATGTGGGGCTGGAACACCCCTGATGGCTTCCTGGCCAGTGTTTTAGGGGGATTTTAATATAACAGTTTGCTGACACTAGAGCAACCTGATATATTGAAGACGTTTTAGACAATTTTGTACAGCATGTTAAAGAGCCCCTATCATGGATTTTTGAAAATTGTGTCGAGAAGATGCTGTGTTCTACAATGCAAAGATAGTTCAGCCACTTTGTTTTTATTTACCAGGGACGAGCATGTGAAGAATCGGTGGTAAGAGTTCACATTTGCAACGATACCACAAGAGTATAGCCTGATTGTGTTGTCATCATTTTAATTACGAATCGTTCAAAAACATAAATGAATTCAAATGTGGATTCGCAAACGGTTGTTCCTGAAGGAGGGCTCAGTAACTTACTTCCCCAGTGTATATGGATCAGCTTCCTCCTATGAATCACAACCTGTAAGTATTATTAATAATCGTTGCTTTTATGGGTTTTGAATGGTTTTGTAGCGTCGGGCGCGAGGAGGGAAGGCACAATAAGTATGTGTGTGTGCGTGTGTGTGTGTGTGTGTGTGTGTGTAAGTTACGCTCAGCGCAGCTTGTAGGTCTCCAATGTCATTTTTTTTTAAATATGTGAAATGTTTGTCGCTGTTATTGGAGTTGTCATAAAGAATAGAGTGTCTTGTAGTACTGCAGTGCTTTATCAATACGTTTATGCGTTATGCTAACAAACAATAACAGACTGGGTCTGTCATCTGACCAATCACCGCCGATTAGCGTCACGCAAAGGAGTGGTTTGGAAAAATGAGTCGTTGTACGAATCATTTGGGAGTTGGTGAGCAAATCTGTTAAAAATAAATGCATATTATAAGACAAATTCATGTTAAATCATGTAAAGTAATCATGTTTCTTCAGAACACTTAAATTAAAATGTTCCTTTTGGATTTATTCATTAAACACTGTGTTTATATTTCTCAAGATACTCTGAAGTATTCCTTTTGGATAAGTTCATTAAAGACTTTGTTTGTTAAATTCTCTGATCATTGTGTGCTCATTACAGACACTTCACTACAGAACACAGAGCCTACAAATTTCTGCCGCGTTTTTTCTTTAAAAAACAATGGACTTACCAGCTGTTCAGTTGCTCTGTTTGGAGCAAGGATAGCACTCACTTGAGGACCACACAAGGAACTTTTCATATCTGGCATGCCTTACCCACTATTCGGACCACTTGCTTTGCATGTTTTTCCACACCAACCTAAGTGAGCTGTCAAAGGTATGCTCGTGATTGTGGGATTTTGCCACGTATGTGGAGTGGGTGCTGGCGAAACACGGGTCCCCGTTCATCTGCCCCGCTAAGGAGGACATCACCTGCCCCAATCCGGATCCTGAGCCCAGCAAGCCGCTTTCGTTCTAACAGACGAAACACCTGAGCCCACCGCAGATGTGGAGCCTGAGACTGCCGTGAAGACTTAAATGATCATCGCCCTGGAGTCACGGCACAAACAAGAGTCTGACCAGGTGTGAGAGCCGGAAACATCTTCTGTACCAGTGGGTGTGCTAGTAGAAGCCCCGCCCACACTCCCGCCACTGAGGGTGAGCTGAAGCTGGCCTTTGTCATTTTTGATGAGGATTTGAAAGAGGATTATCCCTGTTGTCTCCTGGTTCCTGGTCTCTGCTGGTTCCGACCAGTTCCAAGTCAACTGTGTATCTGCTGGTCCTGCCCAGCTCCAAGTCTTCTGTTTCTCCACTGGTTCTGCCCAGCTCCAAGTCTCCTGCTTCTCCAATGATCCTGCTCAGCCTCCCTCATCCACCTCCTCAACCAATTACAGCCAGTTCCTTAGGCCCGCCTCCAATGGTTCCCTTCAGTCCCTGGGCTCCTCGTCTAACTCCACTTTGCTGCATGGATCTGCCTAGAGTCTTCCAGTCTCCAGCTCAACCTCGGCTCGTCGACCAGTCAGCATGACCTTGGCTTCTGCCTCCCTCGGCTCAACCTGGGAGCATCGTCCTTACGGCTCCACCAGGCTCCCTCATCCCTCCAGCTTTGCCTTGGTCAGTCGACGCTCTGCCTGTGCCACGGACTTGTCAAATGTCACTAAGCGTTTTATTTGATTTAAGTGAATAATGACACATTTATTATTAATAAGCAATTCAATTATCATAACTTGATTAAAATTATACTTATAATTATTCTTTATTCTTAAATGCTATATAAATGCAGTCCATTTTTACCATTCTGTATTCTGTATTAAAAATGTCTTCCAATGTAACTTTAGAGCTGTACATCCTAGACATGAACTCTGAAGAAGTTTCTTCCCGAAATGTGCATCATAGTTTTAGGTTTAATAGTTGTAAAAATGTCTGAACGACTTCCCAGCTGGGTCTGCACTTGCTGAAGCATGCACATTTTAGAGACAGTAACTATTTAAGTTTGCCTATGGTTATGATCCATAACATTAGTCATGGTCTAAAGCCCCTTATGTCTCTGCCCTGTCTTTTAAATTAAGCAGAATCACATAGTGGGCAGCAAGGTAAACAAAGCTAGAAATGTCATGAAAGATTTTGTCTGAGTCAAAAATGAATTACGTATAAAAGTATAAGGGCATAGTCTTGCCCACTGTGACATTTGTTACACTTTCATAATAGTGCTTAAATAGCAACCTAATGTGAGTTGTACCGTTGTAACCATTAAACACATTAAATGCCACAGTGGTGACATCCAGGACACCAATTTCAGGGACAGCTTGTTTACAGCATTAATAATGTCTATTCCACCATCTGCTACCAAATATACTTTGACCGTAATGTGCTGCACTTCCAAAGAAAGATCACCAAATCAGAGACTTTTATTTGCTTGCCTCTCATAAAATCTGAGAACTCCATGGGTGTATTTTTAGTCAGTGCACAGCAATTACTAAATGTTCCCAGCATCTGCAATGGAGATATACAGAATGGTCAACCGCCTCTGGTATTTGGTGCTATATCTTTAATTCTAGCTGAAACTTGCATCAACACCAGGAAAATTTTTGATCAGTTTAACTAACTATCATGGATTACTGGTAATAAGGTTCATTGCCAATTTTTCTTGTTCTCAATGGTTTACAATTTTCTTGTTGACTGCTCTTGTGAAACACTGCCCCCTGTTCTACAAGCTCCTAAACACAGGCTCTGTTAAATAACAAAAGGGCAATCTGTGGTGTCTTACTCTTCCTCTATTGAAATGTCAAGAAAATGCTCTCTGGACCACGCCTCTTCACGCAAGAAGCCCCAAGGGAAGAAAGTCGTCCACAGAATTTTTCAGTCACTTTAGTTTTTCCTTATAAAAGTATTTCACGTGTGCTTAATGGCATTCTTTGAATTCGTCAATAGGCTAAATGGTCATTCTAACTGAGAGGTCAATTTTGTGATGGAGACCATTTGACCATTCTATTCATCATATTTCTACTCTTATGTCAAACTGAGCCAATTTCTCACATTCCACACTTGCAGAAATGAATATTAAAACCAGCAGGTACTACAGATTACTACTATGATCTGTACATAAACCGGCACTCCATGAACATTTGAACACCATCATACTGACTGAATGTAAGTGATTTAGCACAGATTATTATTGGCAGCCAATTGACTCACTTTGCCAACTGTCTAAGATTAGGCAGCTCAATAGATCTCAGAATATGTTTTTGGGTAATCTATAACGATAATTAACAAGAAGTGATTATGTAATTGTAAATCAATAAACAAAAGACTTCCGGCTGTGTCTTTTTCCTTCTGGAAAAACTCTTGGGAAAATGTGAGGGTTCACATAAGGTGCTCTTCACTTGACTGTTTATTAAACAATGTTTAATCTATGTTTACTCACACATCTATTTACTCAATACCATGTGATACTGAAAAAAATGTTCATAATGTAATAGAAAAACTATTAAAAAATTGCTAAAATTAAAACCTGTTAATAAGTTACTTTAACATAAGGAAATTGTTGATTTAACAGACAGTAAATGGCATTTTACTACAAAATACACATACAAAGTATTGTGGTTTTGGAAGTAAAAAGTATGACTAGCCATTTAAATTCCTGTGGAAACTATATAGGCTACTACATTCGAAAAGGCAATATAGTCTAGTTTTGAAGCATTGTTATACATTTTTTAAGTGAAAATGCAAAATCATTCTAACAATTTTATTAAACAAATGAACATAAAACAAAAAGAGTTTTGTTTAAGTTACATTTTATGAGGTTTATTTTACCTATATGTATTATGGCATACTAAAATATATATAATATATAGGGGTAGGCTCTATTTTAAGACATATTTTAGTAGTCTGAGCAGGTTGGTAGGCTATATTACTACTTCAATAAACGTTATAAATGTTAAATATACAGGCACCAAATGCAATCAATTAATACCTGAATTTCTGGCAACCACCGCTGTTTAATTCCCCGTAAATGTGACATTAGTGCACTCGCGCGTTAAGTAATGAGAAAAAAAAATATAAACAAAGCAGTGACGAACACTTTCATAAAAAGGTAATTAATGAGCTATCACTGATAATTTCAATCAAGGAGTAAATAAATCCAATAGTTTTGTGTAAAACATGCACCTCACCTTCAAGCCATAGGATATTAGGAATGAGCTGTTCTTCTGCGCGTTTATATCCACAACTTTTTGATGATTAGCATATTTTCCCCGCTCAGTGTGAAACTGTCCATACTCGTTCAGTATTCTTTCTATTGACGATGCTAAATAATTTTACTTGACTAAATAAAACGTTATGGTCTCTCTGAAACTGGCCAACAGGTATTAGATCTAGTCTTCTATCTCAATTTAATTGGCAGTTTAAAATAGTTACATTAAGTACGTGTTGTCAGCAGAAGAGCGCGAATGCAGGGTGCCGCGCGCTCAGATCCAGCAGCAGTAACTGTGAGCGCGTGGCAGGTAGGAGGCGGAGTTGACTGATCTCAACACAAGCGCGTGTTAAAATGCCCAGAGGATCCAATGAATGAACACTAAGTAACCGCCGATACAAACCCAGTTCCAGAACAAAATACTGTTACAGTTACCCCTAAACATTTTTTTTGGACACCTAAAATACACTGAAAGAATACAATTGCATCAGGCTATGTGACACTTGCAACACTTATTATTATAGCACAAGCACACTGTTAGTTGAGGACAAATATATGCTATTGTTTTAAATGAAGGCCAAATGTTTTTGTGACACTTTCTGATGGACAAACAGTACGGCTAGTTTAATAGTATCTATTAAAGATGACTGAATAAACCTAAATTAGAACACACTCATGAAAAGAACCAACAGCATGTTAGCATTATACAGTCTATGTATTTTTTTATTTTTTCTCGTTCAATTTAATGAAACCTGCACTCTAACTCTTTTCTAATGACTTTCAAATAGTGAAGCTTATGGGTATTCTTGGCAAATTATTGTTGTATTATTGCACATTATTGCCATCATCTGTCTTTTTGCAAAACTGCCTATATACCCTTAGTACAATTTACTCCCTTTGACCCACAAAATTGCTTTGCTTTAAGGGAACTGTGAATCAGTTCTTACTGTCAGCAGTACACCACCCCCATGTGATGTGTCAATATCTTCCATACCCTGCACACACACACACACAGTGAATCATCATGATGTGGTATAGCAATCAATGAACATGGGTGTGTACCTTGAGGGGGTGCTGGAAGTGATACTGTAAACATAGCCCTGTAGCTCCTGTCACAAATATGCACCGACGTTTATTTCACATCTAGAAAGCACACTTTGCATTCATGGATAATGTTTTTGTGTAGGATGATTGCTGATACATTTAGATTTGTATTCATCCACAGCATGCCCGGAATATAATCAGGGCCCATGCAGTGTTCTCATTCCATCATGCAAAATTCATACTATGCAGGCATTGTGTATCCGAGGCATGTAGTTTCCTCTGGCACACTCTATGGATCACTGAAATTGATATTTTTTGTTCTTAATATATTCTTGCTAAATCTGATAACCTTATGAGAAAGTACTATTATGTACCATACTGTAAGACTTTCAGGCTAAGTAGAATTACAGAATTATTTAATGTAAATAGGTTGATTAATTGTATCGACTCCTTGTTTGAAAAGCTGTAGCCTGTACCACATGAATTGTAAAAAGCAATGTGCAAATATTGGATTGATTTGAATTAATTATAGAATTGTAGGCACTACTTACATTTTTACCAGGCTACTTCATTTTTCAGAAGATTATAATGAGACTCTGGCATATATACCAAAAGTAAAAAGATTCATTAAGCCTACTGAGAATAAATCACTAAAATAACATTCACAGAGTGACACTCATATTTGCGTCACAAAACACAGGCTTCAGAGTCAAACTTTTAGTAACAATTTGCCACAGCTGGAATATTGGCTTGAGTGGATATCCTTTCACCACTTCCTCTTTCTCCAGCACTTGAAAATCCCCAGAGTGCAATTTTGTGTGGAGAATAAATAGCTTCAAAAATTAACCTTGTACCGTATCAGATTAAAAGATAAATGAGACTCCTGTCAGATGCTATAACTGTTCAAGGTTGTTCTCTATGAAGAGAATAAAACAATTTTGGATTATTCAATGTCATTTAATGTGTCACTCTAATTTAGAGATTGTTAATGCTTCTCATGGGACACCATGTTCTGCATCATCACATCTTGACTTGTCCTTGCTTAAGTCACTTTTAAATTTGTAATTATTTCTTTCATCCCAACAATTTCCAATTTGCAAAAAAATTCCCTTAAATGTATCGAAACTTCAGAACATTTGAAGAAAGGAACTAGACAAAGCTACAAACTAAAAGCTCAAATGAAACACAAAGAAAGGTAATAAAAGGTAATAAAAGAGGCAGAATATGTATAGAAGTAGGGAGAAGAAAGACAGGCCATAGCAATGAATTGGAGACCACGGCTGATCCATGTATTCTTGGTTACTAGTAATCCTGAAGACATTAATAGGTTCAGGAGTGTTAATTAGGATTAGAGCTAAGCTCTGCAGTATAGTGACCCTCCGGGAGCAAGTTTAGATGTTAATAGGTGAAGTAACCTGAAATTTATACTTTCATTGTTTCACATAAAAGTGTAATGATGCATATCTGTTGCGTATTTTTGTGGTTTTATGGCCTGGTTTAGATTAAGCCAGGATTAGAATTTAGTTCAATTAGGACATTTACTGGTATCCTGAGACAAATCAACAGCAGTGACATGTTTAAAAATAAGTCAGTGCAAATTGCTTTCATTTAAAACAGCTCAAACATGCATTTTTGTTTGATACTAGCCTTGTCTGTCAAATGCAATGCAGGTAAGTGGACGAAGAGTTTCAATGGTTGCACAGCCAGAGGTTTCCAATGCCAATTTGCCAGTGATGGCAGTTTGAACTTGTAGAAGAAGACAAATTTTCAAGGTATTAAAACTGTACCTCGTTACAACTGCTTTTTGGAGCTCAAACTTTACTTCCACTCTGGAAGAGAGCAGCTTTGACAATCTGCTAAACATCTCTTTTTGTGTTCAATGGAAGAAATAATACAGGTTTGGAAGAGTGTGAGTGTGAGACAGAATTTATGGGTGAACTATCCCTTAAAAGTTTGGTCATGCAAAACTCATACTATTCAGCACCACGGACAGCACCCATTGTCAATAATGCAAATGCAAATAAAAGACTCCCATTGTTTAAGAGGATAAGATCAGGTCTCCCAATGTCATCAACATAAAAATCAAAAAATAAGCACTAAATTTGTATTATTTTTATCATTTAAAAAGATCATGGATATAACATTTTGATACAATATATGGTAACACTTTATTTTAAGGTATCGTAGTTACATTACAAAATGTACTTTACTAGTAATAACAGTAAATTAAAGTACTGTAGCTTTATAGTAAGTACATGTAGTTAATTAATATTACAAAGTAATTATTTAAGTATGTACAATGTAACTGTCACCTTAAAATATAGTGGAACATAATATATTAGAAAATATGTGGTAACACTTTATTTGACAGTGTCTTTGTTACACATTACATGTCTCTATAGTAATTACTATAAATGATGCATAATTACTTGCATTTAACCCCAAACCAAACCTAATCCTAATCTCACAACTTTATTTGACAGTCCTTTTCTGCATGTATGGGCGGCAGTGGCTCAGTGGTTCATGTAGGTTGTCTACGAACCGAAAGGTTGGTGGTTCAATCCCCGGTTCCACCTGACCAAGTGTCAGGGTGTCCATGAGCAAGACACCTAACCCCAGCTGCTCCGGACGAGCTGGATGACGCCTTGTATGGCTGACACCACCGTCGGTGTGTGAATGAGTGTATGAATGGGTAAATGTGAGGCAAATTGTAAAGCCCTTTGGTGGCCATTGGGTCTATGAAAGCGCTATATAAATGCAGTCCATTTAGTACATAGTACTTATTATGGCAATTACAAGAACTGGTTTACAACTTGGATAATAACCCTGAACCAACCCCTAAACCTTACCTTAAGCCATGTAATTACCTTAAATTAACAGTACTTTCTTGTGTACACTATAAATTCATATAGTTAATTAACAAGGACACCTTAGTTTAACCAAATATACATAATTGTGAACTGCATATTATCGGACATTTAGTTGCTTGTTAATTAAATATAAATTAAATTGGATTATAGATTTAAGATTTACTTGATTAATTTAAGAGGGTTTTGACCCATGACGCATGACTTCAGTACATCTTTACATGTTTTTCTTTCATAATTACTTCGTCTTTGAAATATGGTTAAAGTGCATTTCTGAATGTGCTCACAAGCATTATTTGTCAAGCATCATTCAATACAACTAAGCACATTTGTAATGTTTTTATCATGCCCCACAACCTTTTCTCCATCTGAATGGTTCCAATGTGACATGGCAGTTGTAATTTGTACTTGAACTCAACCAATACAAAACAGATGTTCTGTTTTGAAGAAATAAATGGGTCAGACCATGATGTCTTGTGTTCTTTGTCTAGAATGACTGGATATGACTGGAACTTGAAAGATTGACTGATTAACTATTTGTTCAGTTGAACATTTGAACAAAATGCTGAGGGGATTTTTGAATAAAAGAAATGGACAGAATAATGTGAACTCAATGTAGTGATTGACCCTCTGAATTGTTTTAGAGCTGTTGGTTATATGTTGATATAGGTGATATGTTTTTTATTGATTTATTTAAATTACATAGGATGGTTAAAATTAAACTGTGATGTCACTAAAAAATTCAACAGCAAATAATTTTATGTGCACTCTCTGTTGAACAAACAAATGTTGAATACAAAACATGATGTGATCAACAGGGAACAACTCATAGCTAATTAAATGTATTGGTGAAATCCTGCATAACTTGTTGCTCATTAAAAAATTTTATCATAATTGACAGTTGTAGATTTCTATTTTTCATTATGAATTTGCCTTAGAGAAGCGTCTGAGGTAAACAGGACAAAGTACATTAATATGAGACTTCAAAATAGACAGTTTCTACTGTGAACTACACAAGAAAAATATGTAGAGCCATAAATTTAACACAGTGTTCCAGTATAGCACCATAAAACTTCTGTTGGCTTCAAAACAAGCATTCAATATAGATTTGCGCAACAATGTACAATTCTTAATCTTTGAAAGACCATTCTTGACTTGCGATGCAGAAGTCATTCCGATGATAACACTCCTGTCTATTACATTCTATTTATCTTCTTTCTTTTTCCAATTTCAAAGCAGTCAAAACAGTAACTCGTAGTTAATCTCTGGTTGTATTGCTGAAAATAACTTTTATTGAATTCTGGGAGACCTCAGAAAAAGATAATCATGAATTGTGTCTCTGGAAATGGAAAACTTCACAAGCAATATAGCATGTTTGTTC